ATAAAATTATGAGTTAATTTGAATTTCAAAATGTGAAGACGGCTTAAATATCAAAGCTTTGATCGACATTAGAAAAAGCTTGAAAATGTTTCATTTTCCAATTTTTTTCAATACTCACGTTAGAAGGTGGAATGACACGAACAAAGTCTCCAATTCTCATGTGTTCATAATATGCCAATTTTAAATCTTCAATTATGAACTCATCCATGCAATTAAAACACAAATCGCATTCTGAGTTATCACATGACTCATTACATGGTTTCTTTAAGCACATTTCTGGAAGAACTGTTAAACAATCTTTTTGACAAAACAAATCATCATTCAACACATTTCTAACACGTGAACCATTCAAGCTGCCTTCAAAGCCCACAAGTGAAAGAACATTAAATGCGATGTTGTCAAAAATTGATTTGTAATCTGCTGACTTGTAGGGTATAAAATTAGGACTCATGTTGACTTCCATTAAATACAATTGAAGTTTTGAATCGAGAATAAAATCAAATCGAACAAATTCGAAAAAGTGATTTTTTCCATGAGCTCCAGACGTAGCTTTAATCGCTTGAATGAATTTTGGTTCCTTCATTAGAATGATTTTTCTTATGCAATCTTCTATCTGATCATCAACAATTTGAGGATCCAAACCTTTGTCTTTTAAATACGTGTGAACTGCATCTTTTGCTGAATAAGAATTATTAATAAATGTTTGCACAAATGGAAACTCAACGCCTGGAATGTTACTGTCAGAGATAGCATAGGTGTCTACGTCATCGAAGTTATTCGGATCGTATGGTTTGCTACAAAATCTCAAATGATAAGTTTTTCCATAATAATAAACTCTCAATGGGTCCACTGATGTTATCACCACAAATATGTTTAAATCAAATTTATGACCATTTATGAGAAAAGGATCTTCAACATATTCTTGAGCGAAATAATCTTCATAAATATTGTTTGTGTCTGTTAAATTCATTTCGCTAACTTTTTTTAAGGACACTCCACGATTTGCTTTGAATTTCTCAACAAATCTTTTCTCTGGATTTTTATTCGCATATTCTGTTAACTTTTCGATATCTGTGAAAGCTTTCGGAACATATTTCAAATCAGTATTTACTGCCATGTAGCTTTTCAATACAAGATGAACGTTTCCTGGGATGTGATTGATTCTTTGATAATGCTTCAACTTTGAGTAATTAAGTGGGATTGATCCACTGTGTTCGAAAGCCCAAAGTAAATCCCAATCGTAGTGAATGGTTGCAGATGTCGATGAATCAACTTCTGTTCTCTCCCAGTTGAAATTTTTCAAAACTGTTTCAATTGTCTTAAAAACATGATAATGTCGACTATTTTTCCTGTAGAGCCAATATTTTAACTTTGGTCTTGCTTCTTGAATTTCACATTTCAATTCCGAATTTTCTTCACTATCCCAAATAAATTTTGACAAATTAAAAGCTAAATGTATAAAAATAATCCCAAAAATTGAAGAAATAAATGATTTTAACATTATAAGAATTTTTTAACCACGTTATTTGAGTGAAAGCCAAAAACCGACTGAAATGTTCATTCCGAAGCGAACTGTAAGACTCTAAATTTATTTCTAAATTCATTGCAACACGTTGTTTAGACAGCTTAAAGTTTCATAAATATCTCACATTACAAAGTTTCAACGTTGCTTTTATTCTCTCCGACTTTTTCAAACTTTTCTTACTTCCCAAACCAGACAGATGAAATAACATTCATTCTAAGAAAATGTTGCAAGATTATCTTTCATGTGCATTATGCGAAATTTGAATTTCTTAATCCTTTATCAATCAGTCTGCATTAAATTATTGCAATTTTATTTACACCTTATAAGTACTCATAAGTTTTTAGATTAATAAGCCCCTGAGAAGATTATTGTTTAAAAAAACATTCCAAAACAGTTTGAAAATTTGTTTGCAAGATTCTTAATTTTACTAAAAGAATCAACAAAAAATTTGAAATAAGAAAAGCGATGAAAATTCAACAAGATGAATTTCTTCATTATAAAATGAAACGTGTTTCTTGTTTAAATATAAGTCTAAGTTAAGTTTATTCAATTCTAAATAGCATGTACAAATAAGAGCTAAGCTCTTCTTTAACAATACGTTTTCTTATGTACATAAAAGATCAAAATATCGAGCGTTAACTAAAGTTGATTAAAGACAAAATTAATTAACAACTGAAAAAAAAACTGAATAAATACAGTGGAACTTCGATAACAAGATGTCTCAATAACCTTGATAAACGGATGAGTTTTGCTCACACTTGAATATCATTGAAGGATTGCCTCGATTAACTTGATTAATAACCGTTGGAGACAAATATTTTCTTGTCCACTTGAGCCATTCATTTATCGAAGTTGTTATAGCAGAAAGAGAAGTCAAACTTACAATATTTATTTCACGTGGTTGGAACAATACAAAATGTATAATAAACAATTAAGAATAAACTTAATATTCTCGCAGAGATGAAAGCTTTTAATGAAATTAATTTTAACAGAAAAATCTGTTACTTTTGCACATTTCGAGGCACCATCTAGCGTAAAGATCATTTTTATAAGATAATCCAGTGAAGTAGCTTCTGTCACTCATCATGCTTTCCTTTAATTATTAACTAGTAATTTCCTGTCGAGTGCCGGCTGG